GACTCCACCACCTCCTTGGCAGCCTGTTCCAGTGCCTCACCACTCTCTCAGTGAAGAAATTCTTCCTAGTAGCCAACTGAAACCTCCCCTGGAACAACTTGAGGCCATTTCCTCTTGTCCTATCATCAGTAATTTGGGAGAAGAGACCAACACCAGCCTCACTACAACCTCCTTTTAGGTAGTTGTACAGATCAATAAAGTCTAATCCTAGTCTCCTCCAAGCCAAATGCAAGCCAAAAGGACAAGCTGATGCAACTGTTAACAACATACAACAAGGACAAGAAATCTCAGTATTTCCCCTTTGTACAAGTGAGATCTAACTTAAAACCAACTTTCAGATTCACTCTCTTAAGGTTTTCAAGTGTGGTGAACTTAAACCACTCATTTTCTTCCAAAACCAGCTACATTTTTCATTAAGAAGAACAGTAGTTAACAGTTATCTGTATGCTGCCATTTCAAACAGGTTACATGCTTTTCACTCTTGCACTGGTGCTTTGTTTTATCTCATCTCTTGGAGATGCAGCCCATATATAATAGTCTCCTATTTGTTTAGAAACAAATGTATAAAAATAAATATTATACTGCAGTACCTTGACTTAAAGTCTTTTACTCTTAGTAAGGTCTTCTAAACACACCATAAGAACTCTAAGTTTTGTGCACAACTAACAGGACATCAGTATTTAAAACATAGTTTCCAAGACAACAAAGACAGGAACTGAATTTATCTGATTTGAAAGACAGAAGGATTGAATCAGTCTTGCAGATACCTGAACCCCTGGGCACACAAATGTAAGAAGCATGGATTTGGGTTTGGAGGCAGTTTCCAAACAAACTTTAACAGCTACTAGTGGCATGAGTACCTGCAGTAATTTTCAAAACTATTAGATTTGATGAACTCATTGATTTTGGCAGAAACATGGACCACTTTCATCATTTTCAGTCTGTCTGTTCTGCAACACAGGCTGTCAGACTTCCCAGGACTAATTTTTTTCACACAGACTGTATCTCTAGAACACATAGACCATATTCTTCTATTCATTCATCTAATTCAGATGAATTCTCCCAGTGAAGAACAATCTTTCCCAATCCCAGATAAATTACCCACCAAGTGTATCTTTTCTCTTTTGTGATGTATGTTTTACTTTTAAAATTAATTTGATGACTTTCAGCTTCCAGTCATTGGAATCTTTCTTTTTAATTTGATTTTTTTTTTTTTAACACCTCTCTGGCTACTAGACTGAAAATCTTGCTATAAACAAAATATCTTCCCTCAATATAACTTTATTTTTTGTTACCGCAGTATAAAGATGTGAATTATGCATGTAGAAGTCATAAAATGGCATATATATGCAGATCTATAAATGCTATTTGTTTAATTCAAATATAGTCGATGAAGAGAGAAACCCCACTATAGTGTTGCATGCATTTAAAAATTATAAATGCAATTATAAGAATTGCAGCACTGTAAACACCAAGTAAAGCTAACCTTGTAACAAGAAGAAAGACTGAAAAGATATTCCTCCATTTTTTATCATGGAAATACCCTCTAATTCTAAAAGCTAAGGAGAAAAAAAGAAGAAAGCCTTTGTTATATGCTTTTCTATTCAACTCCACGCTATTCTGTGGGTTTGTTTTTGTACAAAGGCAGTTGCAGGCTGAGCGACTCAGGTGCATCTGCGTGGCAAAGACAGAGAAACTCTCTCACAGCAGGTCTTCAGCTATTTAATGATTACAGTAAAATCCAACACTTCAAATTCAACCTGAGAAGCAACAGGCAGTTGGTGTAGACAATGCACTCCATAACACGCTTTGGAGACAGGCTATTTAAAAAGATGATGGGATTCTGCACCAAGTCTTGTCTTCCAGAGGATCTGAGATTGTAATATCACAGAATGATTTGGGTTAGGAGATGTAGCAGCACTTTGGGTTTCATCACAGTGGCTACCCCATAGGTGGTCACAGCTAAGCCTACATTGATAAGTGTGGAAGAGTAGAAAAGAATTGATACATGCAAATAGCTGGGGTTAAGGACCCCACATTTGCACTACCCTCATTTCACTTTTATTCATAGCCTCAAGTGCTACAACTACTCATTTTTTGAACACCTCCATGGATGATGACTCCACCACCTCCCTGGGACACTTACTAACTCAGACTTACTAGAGTCTCTCCCATGGAGAGATGCATTGAAGATGGCCCTAGAGAACATCTTCCAGGATCACCCCAAAGAATCATGTTTTTTCTACTCTAAGCCAATACTGTAACATGAACTAAAACCTGGCAAGAGGAAACAACCAGAGATTGGCTCCAAAAGTGCACTCGTGATCTAAAGAAACATAACACTAAGGCCTCAGATGGACCTAATGGTGAGGTTGCCAATACTAAATGCCAAGCATGAAAAGAGAAGACTGGCCTCAGAGAAACAAAATAATGAGAAAAGGTGCCATTGTGATTATTCCTAACTGTAGAGAGGGTTTCTGTCTAATAACTGGGGGGATTTCATAAGTAGCTATGAAAATAACAAAGTGCAATTTGATCCCTATGCAGCAATAGAAAAAATGTTGGAACTAAGTTATTATTTTCTATCTTATTTTTACATTCTACAATTATACTCCTAAATTTATTTATCCTACTTCTTCAGTTGTGAAAAAGATTTTTTTTCTTCTGTATAGATCATAATAATAGTCCTCAATGCAAAAATGAGTCTTCTTTCTCCTCCAAAGGGACAATAAAATCTCCTCTTTTCAAAGGAAAAGAGAAGAACAGAGATTATCCCCCTTCTCCTTCAGCTTGCTAGAAGTAATAATACCAACAAAAATTAATTTAAAAAGTGGCTTTATTTCCTCCATGGAATCATCTCAGCTAAATTCAATCTTTCATGGCGTGCACATGAACAATTACTGCCTGAAAATAATTGTTTTGTCAGATGCTCTAAAAAGTTTCAAGGTGTTTTTTTTTGTTTTTTTTTTGTTTTTTTTTTTAATAATTCTTCAAGAAGTTTTACAGCCTGAATTAAAGGGGTGCATGAGATTTGATAGATTATTAAATAAAAATATTCTAAAGACCTTTTTTATAGCTTAATGCTTCACCCTTTAATTATACATTCCATTTCAATATGAGATGTTCAGATGAGAATGTTAAAAAGCGTCTCACACTGAAAGTAATTTTGTTTTCTACAGAAAATAAGGTTCTGATTCAGCAAACTCTGGTCTATGTAAGTTTTTATATGTGGATTTTCCCCGTTAACTCACAAGGATAATAAGTCCATTTATGTGCTTTAGTTCTCTGCCTGGGTAAGGAGTAGTACATTCAGTACTATAAACAAGTTAATTGGATGCAAAAATACATCTTCCTAATCTGGGTAAGCAGAATTCATTAACTCACATCATACAAGGAGTAGAAAGTAGTAGTGATACAACTGCAAGAGTAACCCAGGGTGTTTTTAAGGAGAAGCCTGCATGCTGCTCAGCTTTCCAAGGTAAGAGTTAACACGCCAGTAAGACAGCAATGAGAGAAGGGGATGTGCCTCCAGAATTTAAAATGGTGCTTTGTGCTTAGCAGAAACATCTCACCCAGCAGAGACAGTCTCATGACAACCTTTCTGGGACGACTCTGATGTAGAGGGGTTGCTGGAAGGCAGAAGTCTGCGTAGGGGATGGGAAAGCGTGGGTCTATAGCAGATCCCACCTGATGATTGTGGCTCATGAAGCAGTTTAAAATGACTCATGAGAGGCTATATAAGATTAAAATGTGCTTAGAAGTGGTTCTTGTCCTAAGAAAAGTTTGGAATCTGCTGTTACAGACTAACTGTATAATCAAAGGAAAAATGGAGCTCCTTTACTATGCAGAGATCTTTAATTTCCACCCCAGTTCAGAAGAGTTGTAAATACCTCAAAGGTGGCACACGCACAGAACAAGAGGGGTTTGCCCCCATCATCAGCCATGACAATAAATCAGGCTACCTGAGATCAGCACTGGGTACAGGAATGGAATTTGTGTTTCACAGCTATAAAATTAAGCCTGTCAAAAGCTTTTTCTGTAAATGTTAATACCTAGTGACAGATGACTAAAGAGAATCTATTTTGGAGTGCTCCAACTGCCTGAAGTCTTACATCAGTGCCATAACATACCCCCAGCCACAAGTGTGTTACCTGTTTGCTGAAAGGGATGAGTTGTTTTAGCACTGTTATTTTGCTTCATCAGTTTCCTCTGTGATTTTCACCATAGTTTTATTTGCATGTGGCTTTCACTGGGGCAGATGCAAGGTAATTTGGGTTTCAAATATGAATTTCAATGGCTAAAGAGATGTTCAAACCTGATTTGGTTTGTCGTGGTTGTTTTTAAATCTTTGACTGAAAAGCAAGACATACATTTACTCTCACAATAATTATGTTGTTCTGTGTTTTGGTTTTTGGTTTTTTTTTTTACTTATTTGCTTTTTTTTTAAAAAAAAGATGCCTAACAAAATTGAATCAACAGGTTAGTGAACACTGAAATTACACATTCTTTACCTCAGTAAACATTCCAAACCATCCCTGCAGAGGCTCACTGGAGCAGCAAGATAATTTATTTATTCATTCTGATTTTAACCAGACTTATCTCATACCCTAGGCAGCACACATACATGAGGCAAAAAAAACCTCCAAAACAAAGCAAAAAAAAAAACCCAACACAACAAAAATCTACACGAACTTTGAAGATGTTAGCAAATTAATGGTATTACTAACAGAAACAGTAATGAAGTTTGCATCTATTGGAAGCTGTGTTCAAATCTTCTAGGTGATTAACAAATTAATCATGGTTCATCTCCTAACATACCCTCATATCCTTCCTTACAAATTATTTCTTGCTGCACATAGTTTAGTTTCACACTTGTTTCAGTGTCAAGCTTTTCTGGCTTACGATGAAACAAAGCTGATTCCAAGCAGCTTTTATATTCCTCTCATCCAATATGATACTTTTCTTAAGTCCAACTTTTATTTCCCAAGTGCCTTACATACCCTTATCATCAGAACAGCTTTCCTGATGTCACGAACTCCATCATAAACCAAGCGGGAGGCATCTATGAACTCATTCTCTTCAAATGGCTGTGGGACATTCGCACTCAAAGCTTCAATGGCCACCTCAACTTGTTCAGCAAAACGTGGCATAACTAGATTAAACAAAATGAAAGGCAGGAAGATTAGAAACCTTCTTCCATGAACATTTTTCCCCTGCCCTTGGACATAAATACTTTCCAGTAGACATGATACATATTGTTGTTACGATTTCAAGACCCAGGAAGGCTCATGGCATGGGTTTGTACCAACTTTACACATGCAGAGCTCTGAAGCTTTTTCTGACAGCATGAAAACAGCAATCTTCACCTTCCCTCCTCCAATTGCACAACAAAGAATGTAAAGCTTCCTTTAAAAACACTGTAAAAGACTGCAAGATATCTGAGCCATGAGTAAAGTATATTTAAAACCTTTACAACTTGGAATGAACACCGTACATAATTAGACCAAATGATCAAAGGAAAATGTAGCCCTTATGCCCACTAATTTAGATAACTGCAGTCTAGCTCATATTGAACAATAATTGTATAAGAGACAAAATGCAAAATCTAGCAAACTACTTTTGTGAAGGCATATAAATGAACACGCTGTTCCTTCATTATCATCATGTACATAACAAAAAAAAAAAAGCCATAGATATTAGCTAATGGTATTAGAAACTCTGGTATGGACTTTTAAAATACATATCTTAAAGCAATTATTTACTTATGTAAATAGTCTCAAGGCATTTCTTGAAGTAAAAAGAGGCTTCTTTTCAAATTTTACACCGGATTCCTTTGAAGGTATAATCACTTTCTGCATATCACATATGGAGAGAGATAAATGTTCCTCAAATCAGCCCTCTGACAACTTAAACTCAAACCCTATGAACAGGACCATGAACATCAGGTCCCATTAATTAAAATGATCCTGTACTCATTTACTCCTTCAAAGTTTTAATGTTAATATTGGAGGACTAGGCTGTCATATACATGAGGACAAGGACAATCAATGCTTCATTAGAAACTCAGATATGAAATCTATTGGGATTAATTATTACAAATTTCAGGGACTTGGATTGATCTTAAATTTTATAGATAGCCATCTTTTAATTATATTTACTTCATTTTTATTATCTGCCTTCTTCTAGAATCTAGGTATCCAAATCATGTACCATTTCCTTTATTATTTTGGCATTATAATTGGAGAAACAGGAAAAGACTATTCCTAACTCAGTTACTTTTTTTTTGTTATTTTACCTTTTTTAACCACTTTTTCCTGAGACCTTATTTTTAATACACTTTTTGGCAACCTGATCCCAACTGATGAAGGCAAAAGGAAGTTCCCAGTGTCATTTTCTTCTAGAGCAATGACAATCTATGCTAAGAAGTAAACTTTCACTATAACAGGAAAACACATTGTCTTCTTGACTGAATGTCCTCAAATATATTTTACTCATAATGAAAACTATGGGGTTTTTTTGCATCTTTCTTAGTTCTTTTATTTTTTAAAGTAAAACCACAAAACCCTATGGTTCAAGATTATATCACATTTTGAAGAACAAGTGGCAGTACCTACAGAGTCAAGCTTTATGTTTCTGAATTTTAAGTATAACTCACTGGATGTTAAAAGGGAAGCCCTTAAAGGGATATATCTATGAAAATCTTGTTTATTCTGCTTATATACATACACAGTCATATATACATTTGTTCATGTACATGAATGAAAAAAACAGAATTGCATCTTCCATGTAGATAATGTTCAATAAGTGCTATAGATGCTTGGGATATATTGGAGAAAACAGAAAAAGTGATAGCAACAAAAGACTTTAAAAAAGTAAACAAACAAAACATTGCCAGGCAGAGGGGAAATGTTTTAATTAGAAAAGGAGTTCAAAAGAGCTGCAAGTTTTGAAAAGAGTATTAATAAATGCATATATCAAATTATCTTAATTAATGGAACACTTGAAAGAGTAGTAGAAGACTGATATAATTGCATAAGGAAGTTTTTAGCCTGAAAATTGAAAAGCAATCATTAAAAATACAATGAAAACAAGTAAACATAAAGAATAAAAGAATAGTTATTTAGGGTCATAGAGATAAAACAAGGAAAGCTAGAGATGCAAAAATGACAGCAAAAAAACAAGGTAAAGAACCCTAATATTTGTAGTGCTTAACTTTCTACCTAAAATTTCCTAAATATCAGAGATGTTCAGGTATTTAATATAATTAATACTAAGTGCAACAGACCTGAATTTGGAAACGGCAATCTGGAGAACATCTACATAAGGAAAAGGATCCATTAAATATATCTTCAACTTAACAGACCCTAGCAAAATTTACCCTGTAGTTCTTCAGAAAACAATCAGAGCAATTTCTGAACCATTTTGGAGAACTCAAGGAAAACAGTAACAGCAAAAATTTAAAATAAAAAGAATATGCACATATCTATTTCTATAAACGTAAAGAAGGAAGAATTATAGGATATTCAGAGAAATTTCCATACCCAGAAAAAAAACAACCAAACAAAAAAATGGCAGAAAGCAATTAACTTTTATTTATTTTTTAAAATAATGAGCAGACGTTGGACATGGAACTCAAGAGAAAAAGCATCTCGAGGAATAATTACTCGTGGTACATTGTCAAAGCAGATAGTGGATTTTTGCAATGTGTCTAACAATATGATGCTATTGCAAAAAACCAGCAATGGTCAATCTAGAATTACTACAGTGCATAAAAAAAGACTTGAGAGAAGATACTGTGAAGATGCAGCAAGGCCCTAGCTGGAGTACTGTGCCCCTTTTTTAAGTAAATGACTTAGATTTTTGTAGTGTGTGTATAAGAATGATGTGAATTTCTTTTTTTTTTAAAACCATATTTTATGGTTGTATCCAGACTTACATTTCTATGTTTCAATAACATCATTTAGTCCAAACACCACAAATGCTTCTAGAAGCTCTTTCTGAATCATTTAAAATGCCCAAATGAAACACCTTCCACCAACTTCTCAAGGAAATTATTTATAGCCTGACAGAGTTCACTGCCCAGACATTTTTCCAAAAAAAAACAAGATAAAATGCTTATTTTGACTACCACAATTGATTTCTTTTCTTGCAACATAAATTTTAAAATGTATAAATCATAAATATATGTTGATAAATATATATAAATCTATGCATAAATGTACATTTAACATCTAAACATTTAACTAGGACTACAATTATTGTTTTCAATTTATTTTACCTGACCTATGAATTTGAAAGCAAGCAGAAAAAGTAGGCAGGGATACATGCTGTATTGATTACATGACTCACAAGCAGACCTTCTGAAGTTCTGCAATGCTTCAGATCTGGGGAAGAGTGGCTAGAAAGCTGCTGGGCAAAGAAGGACCTGGGGATGTTGGTTGACAGCCAGTTGAAAATGAACCAGCAAAGTGCCCAGGTGGCCAAGAAGGCCAACAGCATCCTGGCTTGGATCAGTACTAGTGTGGCCAGCAGGACTAGGGCAGGGATTGTAGCCCTGTAATATCCACTGATGAGGCTGCACCACAAATCCTGGGGTCAGCTTTGGGTCCCTCACTACAAAAGAGTAGACATTGAGGTGCTGGAGCATGTCCAGAGAAGGACCAAGAAGCTGGTAAAGGATCTAGAGCACAAGTCTTATGAAGAGTAGCAGAGGGACTTGGGGTTGTTTAATCTACTGAAAAGAAGGCTGGGGGAGACCTTCTCACTCTCTACAATTACCTGAAATGACCACCTGGGGGGTTGGGCTCTTGTCCCAAGGAAAAAGCACTAGGACAAGAGGAAACGGCCTCAAGTTGTACCAGGAGAGGTTTAGGTTGGATATGAGGAAAAATTTCTTTCCCAGAAGGGTTGTCAAGCCCTGGAACAGGCTGCCCAGGGCAGTGGTGGAGTCCCCATCCCCAGAGGTATTTAAAAGATTTGGAGCAGCAAAATTAGATCTGTAAGCATCAGGCCATGAGAAGAGGATGGAAAGTTACATTTTATTCATTGTGGTGAACATGAGGCGTTCATTCTTGACCACATGTGTTACCACAGTGGCTGCTCATTGGGCATGAAAGCTTCTTTCAACAATTTTGACGTTGCAGACCTGCCTATAATTTAATCCTTAATTTATATTATTACACGTGAACATTTTCTGCCATTTCAAAACGGAAATAGTTATTTAACTCTATTATGAATTGCTTGCTTGCCAATTGCATTTTTACCTCAGAGCTCATTTTTGACTAGACAAGCAAGAAAAAACATCTTAAACTAATAAGATGCTATTACTTATAGCTTCTCCAGGCATACGTTGTCATTTAATGCAGTAAAGTTTTCAGAAATTGAGTTAAAAACTGTATTATTCTCCAGTTTAGGTTATTGGGCCACATTTGAGGAGCTCTGTGACAGTGATGTATGAGGAAATACCTAACTCAGTTGCACCCACAAAACCTCCTGTCTTTCTTATCTGTCATTTACTGTACAAAGAAGGATATTATGCCAATAGTGAAAGACCTACGAGCAACATTCAGGCAAAGGCATAAAATATGTGTCTGGAGTTGAAACGTGTAAATGCATCAGATAGAGAATGATTCATTTATTACGTACAGAGAGATGGGCTATGAATTTCAGGTTCAGAAACAAATCAATTCTTTGGGGGAAAAATTAAATATTGGTTTCTTAGTTTGAACTGTGGACTTGAAAAGAGTTAGGCATACACTTAGACTGAAAAATGTGATCCATTAACATCTCTCTGTCTAGCTACATGAATTAATTAGGCACCTGCATAAATGATGACAAAATCAGGTCCCAAGCTTATAGCAACACTTCTAATTTACTGACTGTCATTCTAACAAATAAAGATTTTAAAGCCTTTCTGTAGATGAGTTTTCAATGGCATAGAAAGTAAGCCCATTGCCAAAAAAATCTAGGCTGAACGTCTGCAGGAGAAAAGCTGGGAAACAAAGTTAAAATTACTGCCATGTTACCACTAAAACTTAATCCATAGTACCAACATCTCCATGGCTTTTAAATCCCTCCAGGGATCGGGACTCCACCACTTCCCTGGGCACCCTGTTCCAAGGCTTGACAGCCCTTTCAGGCTAGTGGTTTATG